GGAGGAGGAGGAGGAGGAAGATGGAAGAGGAAGAGGGGCAGGGAGGAGGAGGTTGAGTAGGAGGAAGAGGAAGAGGAAAAAGGCTCAGGAGGAAGAGGAAGAGGACGAGGGGAGGGAAGAGTAATGGGGAGGAAGAGGTGAAGTAGGAGGAAGAGGGGAAAGGGGTGAGGAAGGAAGGGGCAGAGCACGAGTCGGAGATGTCAGATTTGAAATATATTTAGGGAATCTTTTGGCAGATTTTTTTTATCTTGGTCTTCGGTAACTTTTCTGAAAGGGGGGTGGGGTGCATCCATGTGTGTGTGCTTTTTTTATGATACGTAATATGTTTAAGTTTGTAAATGTGAGTGTTTGTGATTTTGTTATTTTGGGAGGCGAGAAATATGTGTGTGTGTGTGTTCATGTTGTTTTTGTCATTTTCTGTGTTTGTGTGCGTACTTGTATGTATGTTTGAGTCCGTGTGCGTGCGTGTCTCCGTGGGCGGGTTGGCGCGGCGTCGAAATCGATGGTGAAAATTATCGTAAACTTTTTCCCGATAATTAGTCCAAAGTCGCGGCCGGCCCTGGTCCCTTTTCTCACGTGCGTGGTTTCCGCCTTCTCATACTCCTCCTTCTACTCCTCTTCCTCTTCCTTTTACTCCTCCTCCTCCTCCCTCCTGCTTCTACTCCTCCTCCTCCTTTTCCTCCGCATTCGGATTTCCTTTGCATATTGCCTTCTGTCGTCTTTCCTCTTTTCCATCTGCCTACTTTTCTCTTTTCCTTTCATCCCTCCGTCCTTTCTCTTCTTTCCATACTTCCCATCTTCCCTCTTTCCTGCCTTGCCTTTCTCCCTCCTTTCCCCTCCAGACTTTCCTTCCTCACTCTTCTCTCCTCTCCTTTCCCCCTTTCCTTTATTCCCCTCCTCTCCCCTTCCTCTCTTTTCAATCTGTCTTTCCATCACATCTTCCCCTTTTCCATTTCTTAAATATTTTTTTTTTTTTTTTTTTTTTTAATTCTCCGTGTTCTCATTTGTCCCTTGTTCTCGCGGGACAGTCTCCTGCGTCTCTTGGTGTGAT